ACAGCTGTAATCCTAGCGCTTGGAAGACTGAGACAGAAAGAGTTTCAGGTTCCAAATCAGACTGGGCTACATAGCAAGGTCTTGCTGTAGAGGAAGAAGAGGAGGGAGAGTATTAATGATCAAGGTTTTAACTTAAAAGCTGGACAAAATGGAGCAGAATGAATAGAAGAAAAATAATAATGAGGAGAATAGCTATAAAATACAAAATCCAATAACACTAATATAGATAGCATATTTAATGGAAAGATTAAGAAAAGGGTTGGAGAGAAGGCCCAGCTGTTAAGAATACTGGCTGCTCTTCTGGAGGACCTGGGTTCAAGTCCCAGGACCCACATGGCAACTCACAACCATCTGCAACTCCAGTTCCAGAAGATCAGATACCTTCTTCTGACCTCCTCAAGCACTGCATACATATGATACATAGTCATATGCAGTCAAAACACCCATACACATAAAATTAAAGTTTTTTAAAAAATTAAAAAGAAAAGAGTAAGACAATTTAGTAGCCCTTAGCAAAGCTCATTTAAAAAGAGAGAAAAACAAAAATTATAAAAATCAGAATTTTAGGAACTGGATATCACTATTATGACCAGTGTTCAAGAGCTTTACAAGCTGCTTTAATACCGTGATGTTAGAGCCTAGCTAAGGGAGACAAATACCTTGAAAATGTTCACTTGCTAAAACAGAAGGGGGCTGGGGAGATGGCTCAGCGGTTAAGAGCACTGGCTGCTCTTCCAGAGGACCACGGTTCAATTCCCAGCACCCACATAACAGCTCACAACTGTCTATAACTCCAGTTCCATGGGATTTGGCACCATCACATAGACATACAAACAGGCAAAACATCGATGCACATAAAATAAAAATAAATACCATCTTTTAAAAAGTGTTCTTTAATTTAAAAATAACATAAGGAATAGAAAATATGGTGACTGGTTAGCTGTTAAGAGCACTTGCTGTTCTTGCAGAGGACCCAGGTGTGGTCCCCAACACCCACAAGGCAGCTCACAATTGCTCTCCAGGTCTAGGAAATCTAATGCCCTCTTAAGTGTCCAAGTGCACCAGGTATGCCTGCAATTCACTTACAAGTATGGAGGCATTCACACACACATGTGAAATAAAATAAACCTTATTTTAAAAAGAAAAGGAAAATATGAATGATGCTACTGCTGAATGCTGTCAATCATTTAAGAAAGAACTATTAACTATTCTTATATAATTTCCTCCCAGAAACTTGAGTCTATTTTCTAAAGCCAGGATGATAATGACATTGGAGTTGTACAAAGTCAGTACAGAAAAAGAAACTGATGGGCTAATATCCCTTGTCAATTCAGACATGAAAATATTACCAAATCAAATCAAGCAATATGTAAAAAAAAATCATGCCAAATGTGGTCTAAGAATTCAAGCAAGATGCAACATTTGAAAGTTCTCAAATTATTTAATAACACGAAAGAGAAAAACCACAAGATCACCCCTACAGATAAAAAAAAAAATCATCTGACAAATTCCAACTGCCATTCATAAGAATTCTTAGCAAATTAGGAGTGGAAGGGAGTTTAATCTGAAAGGGGCATCTATTTAAAACAAAAAACAAAAACAAAAAACTACAACAGGTCCCAAGAGATAACTCAGTGGCTAACGGCACCGCCTCCAGGCCCAATAACCTCAGTTTGAACCTACCAACTCACATAATGGAAGGTGAAAATCAGCTCCTGAAAACTGTCCCCTACCATCACACGGACCCTGTGGCATGTACATGTGTGCAGGCAACACACACACACAAATAAAATAAATGTAATAAAAAATGTTAAGGGGTTGGGAATTTAGCTCAGTGGTAGAGAGCTTGCCTAGCAAGCGCAAGGCCCTGGGTTCGGTCCTCAGCTCTGGGGGAAAAAAATGTTAAGACTACCACAAATATCATCCCAAATGACCCAGAAATCTCACTAGCAGGTATGTACTCAGATAATAATACTTAATATTGGTTAAGAATATGACAAGCATGTTAGCTTTAACCATTTCCATTTAATGTTGTACTAAGAATGAGTCCCAACCAGGGCAATTAAATAAGAACTATAATTAAAAGGCATTAAATATTGGAAAAGAAGAACTAAAATTTTTTTTTAGTTACAGTCAAAATGATTGCCTACATACAGAACTCTAAATAATCTATAACTAGGTCATAATATACAAATGTAACAAGATCATAGACTACCTGACCAGTGCATGAAACTCAGTAACATTTGTACGTAGGTGTAGCAAGCAATTTCAAAGCAACAGAGTAACATTTGTATGTAGGTGTAGCAAGTAATTTCAAAGCAACAAAATCGGAACCAGTTCCACTAACAATAGCATCCAAATGTTTAGGAAAACATTTACAAAAGGTGTGTGGTACTTTGTGTGGTGGTCATTAGGGGAGAGAAGAATGGAATAGTGGTATTCTGGGGAAAAGGTGTTTGTACACCATTGTTGGGAATATAAATGTGTACAGTTATATGGGGAAATTGTGGAAGCTCTGCACAAAACAAAAAGTAGAACTCTTATATGACCCAGAAATGTTACTCCCAGGTTCAGGTTCAGACCATCAAAATTGGTGTATAAAGGTAATTTCGCTTACGTCACCCTATAAAGAGAAGAAATTCTATCATTCCTGGACACATGGATGGACTTGGAAGACACTGCGCTAATGAAATAAGCCAGATACACCAAAGCGAACGAATGTAGCATGGTCTATGATGGTGGTTCGCAACCCTCCTAACGCTGCGATTCTTTAATACAGTTCCTCATGTTGTGGTGACTCCAACCGTAAAATTATTTTTGTTGCTACTTCATAACTGTAATTTTGCTACTGTTATGAATTGTAATGCAAATATCTGATATTTCTGATGGTCTTAAGTGACCCCTGTGAAAGGGGTCATGACTCACAGGTTGAGGACCTTTGATATATAGTATTGGATACAAAATCTCAGCACTTCAATTTTGATGGTAGATTTGACTTCCAGGGGTAATCAAGCAGTGTATGCAAATGTCACTGTCTGGTGAATCTTGGCTTGTGTTTCTGGCCTGCTATGTCCTGTTACAAACATACCCCTACATACTGTCCATCTTTTTCCTCCTGGCTATTCTTTGCAGTGAATGTCTCAAACGACTCAGTAGCAAGTGACGGCACAGGCTGTCTCCTAACCCTGGGAGTACAGATCAAGGACACCTAGGAGGGGTGTCAATCACCTCACAGGTGCCACCTCCAGCCCACACCCAGTTTCCAAATGTCTCCCATGATCATCAAACATCATCCTCTGTGACCTGGTGGGATGTGTGCTGAGAACATTCACCTGACAGGCCAGTAGGATACAGCACTTGGAGCCGCTTCTTGTAATGCTGGTGTTATCTGAGCCAACCAGGGAGAAGTTGAGTGATTGCACAGAAGTCAGAGGGGTTTTTTTTTTGTTTTGTGTTTTGGGTTTTTTTTTTCCCCAGACAGAGTCTCTCTCTATTATGTAGTTCTGGCTGTCCTGGAACGTGCTCTGTAGCCCAGGCTGGCCTCCAAGTCACAGAGATCCACTTGCCTCTGCCTCCCATGTGCTGGGATTAAAGGGTGTACCACCACACCCAGCTCCAGAAGTTACAGATTATTAATAAACTGATTACTTTATTTGGGTACCAGAAACTTTACTGAATTATCTCAGGCTTTGAGCAGCATACTTCCTTGAAAAGTATGCATCACCCCCACCCCCACCCCGGCACCCACACACACACACACAAAAATAGGAACTGAACTGATGGCTGGGCAGTGGTGGCGCTCGCCTTTAATCCCAGCACTTGGGAGGCAGTGGCAGGCAGATCTCAGTAAGTTTGAAGCCAGCCTAGTCTACAAAGCGAGTTCCAGGACAGCTAGTGCTACACAGAGAAACCCTATCTTGAAAAACCAAAAAAAGAAAAAAACAAAAAACAAAAAACCTGAACTGAGACAAATGTGAAGAAGTTTGTGTGAAGAAGTTTGTTCAATGATATACTGTACTGGAAACCCAAAGGCTAGCAGCAGATGTAAAGTCTAACTCTTGTTATAATTTTTTTGCTTGTTTAGTCAAGACAGGGGTCTCACTACATAGCTCTGGCTGTCCTAGAACTCACTATATAGACCAGGATAGCCTCAAACTCACAGAGATCCTCCTGCCACTGCCTCCTGAGTGCTGGGATTAAAGGCATCACTAAGCCTGATGTGTGTGTGTGTGTGTGTGTGTGTGTGTGTGTGTGTGTGTGTGTGTGTTCATGTGGCTTTGAGACAGGCTTTCTCTGTGTAGTCCTGGCTGTCATGGAACTCACTCTGTAGACCAGGCTGGCCTCAAACTCAGAGGTCCACCTGCCTCCGCCTGTGCTGGCATTAAAGTGCATCACCATGGCCCAGCGATGCCATCTATTCTATCATTTCCTGTTCTGGGTTCTCGGATATGGCCTGGCAGCATAAAAACTATAACAATAACAAATTCAAGAAGAGAAGAGGAGGAATCGGAGGAGAGAAGGAGGAGGAGGAAGAGGAAGAAAAAAGAAGAAAGAAGAGAAAGAAGAGGAAGAAAAGGTAGAAAGGGGGAGGAGGAGGCCTCCCCACGTCAGCCACCTTCTGAGTCAGCTCCTCCAGCCACACAAGCTGAAAACTCAGGTGTCTTCGTGGTTGGACGCTGAGGGCGCAGGCAGATGTTCCTGCGACCAGCTCTGTGCTGTGCCCAGTGTGAAAGAGGAAGGTCTGCAGGCAGCGAGGGGTAGTTGTCCAGTGAAATCAGGTTTTCCTAGGTGGTACGAATAGTGTTCTAGACGGTAGAGAAGCATAAATTTATCTTCTGTTACTAGGGTGAATATCATAATATTAGTCAAAGTATGATGGGGCAGGCAGATTATTGAGTGTTGTGAGTTTTTATAATCATAAACATACTCGAAAACTATAATAAAAATGTTATGGTTCTTAAAAAAAAAAAAAAAAAAAAAAGTTGTTCCAAGTCCTGTCCTGAGACTGTGCGCCCTGCGGCGGTGCTCCCAATAAAGGTAGGAAAGGGATTAATTGAACGTCACTGAGCTCCTCCTGGAATGGGTGTGGCCAAGAAATCCAGAAAAGTTTCTTCCCACTTCGCGCGTGAGCAGAAGAAGCGCCGCCAAGCAACGGGGTGGAAATCCAGAGGGGAAACAGCTCTTCTTCGCGGTTTTTGAGAAATTTCGGGATCGGGAATCAGGGCAACCCTCGATGAAGTCTCGGGGACGCAGCGTGCCCACAGCCTCAGCGGCCTGGGCAGGTCACACCCCAGGTCCCGGGCCACTCCCGGAGCTCAGACTTCGGCCTAGGGTCCCCAAGACCTTCCTCATACTACAAGTTGTCCTTCTGTTCTTGGTGAGTATCGCCCAGTGAGAACGCGGTGCCCGGTGGGCGCGCGGTGCCCGGTGAGAAGGCGGTGCCCGGTCCGGCGCAGGAAGCTGGGCGCAGGGTGCCGTCCAGGCCTGGAGCGCACGTGCTTGGCGCTGGGGAAAAGGTCTGACGTTGTGGGGGAACACCACTGTGGAGCGGGGAGAACTCGACGGTGAAGGGTGGAAGGTTCGATGGTGGGGTGGGGAACCCCAAGGGGCAGGGTAGGTTGGAGAAGTGGGCGGAAGATTCAACTGGGGAGGATGTGACGAGGCGAGGCGCAGCTCCGGTAAAGGGACGGTGGGTGAGAGGACCCAGAGGTGGAGGGAGTAGGTTGGAGAAGTGGGCGGAAGATTCGACTAGGGAGGATGTGACGAGGCGCAGCTCCAGTGAGGGGACGGTGGGTGAGAGGACCCAGAGGTGGAGGGAGGGAGGCTCTGACGTTGGGTGGAAGGGACCGGGCAGGGGAGAAGGACCAAGGTGGGACTCCGAGGGGCGAGGAGGAAGGACCCAGCTAGCCCAGCAAAACCCACCAGGACACCATGCCTAGGGCGAGATGGGGCAGGGAAAGCCGGGACGGTGGGGCGGGGGAGGACCCGGTATTCCTTGAGGACCTACGGGGCTGAAAGAATTTAGATGTAGGGGCTGGAGGGTTGACCCTGCCCAGCTACTAGCGCGGGCCTCTGATACCTGCGGCTCAAGAACTCATTTCCAGTGTGGCATCACTGTTTTTGTTTGTTTTGTTTTTTGTCTCCCCGGCCCCCGCGAGACTCTGTGTGGCTTTGGCCGTCCTGGAACTTGCTCTGTAGACCAGGCTGGCCTCGAACTCATAAAGATCTGCCTGCCTCTGCTTCCCAGAGTGCTGGAATAAAGGCGTGCGACACCACTGCTCCGCTTTTTTTTTTTTTTTTTTTTTTTTTTTAATGAAGTTTCTTGGATTAGAAATTTATTGGCTTTAAAAAGAGTAAAAAGGCTCTTAGGGCAAGAATCCAGACTTTTCCTCTTCTGCTAGCACGAGATTCCTGAGGGGAATTCCAGTTTCTTGGAGTCCATTGTTTCTAATTTCTAATCGTCAGAGAGGCACACCAGTGTCTCTGAAGAATTCATATATTAATTTTATTTTATTATATTCATTTTTGCCGGGCTGGTTACAGTTTTCTGCCTTCTGTTTTAATATTTCGCTGTTGAGGTGGAACATGCCTATGTCTGAAAAACGAGTAAGTAGAATCAAAGTAGGAACCAAGGTTAGGACAGGTTCAGTTAATGCCAGGCAGCCCTGCGTAAGAACCGTTTTTTCCATACTCTCTTGGCTCTTAGCTACTTTTGGTACCTTTTTAGCTATTTGAAAAACAAACAAAACAAAACAAAAAGAAAGAAAAAGAGGATAAGCAGAACAGTGGTAGCCAGCATGGAGAGGTCGACCGAGGAGTGAGCAGTTTGTTATTTTAACAGGTGAAGTGAGCAGTTTGTTATTTTAACGGGTACCGACTTTCAGTTTTGCAAGATGAAAAGAATTCTGGATTTTGTTTACACGACAATGTGAATGCTCTTAGCACTGCTGGCCTATATGTTTAAAGTGATTAAGATGTTAAGTTTTACCTAAGGTATACCTGAATGCATTTTGAAAAAAATCGGTGTGTGCACACTTAATGAGGTTGTGTGAATGCAGTGCCATGGCATTTGTCTGGAGATCAGAGGGCAACCTCGGGTGTCAGCCCTCACCTTCCACCTCATGAGACAGGATCTCTCTTGTTCACCACTGGGTATGCTGCTGACTGTCCCATGAGCTTCTAGGGATTCTCGGTCTCCACTTCCTAGCCAGCCATAGGAGCCCTGAGATTTCAGATGTGTGCCATTGTGCCCAGCTTTATATGAGTTTGGGGAATCTGAGCTCAGGTCTTTATGTTTGTGTGGCCAGTGTATTATCCACTGAGCCATCTTCTCAGCTCCTGACTGTGTTTTTAAAAACTCTGTGTGTGTGTGTGTGTGTGTGTGTGTGTGTGTGTGTGTGTGTGTGAGAGAGAGAGAGAGAGAGAGAGAGAGAGAGAGAGAGAGAGAGAGAGACACATGTGATTAAGTAGTCATATGGGAAACAAGACAGTATATTAAAGGATGCATGTTATTTCTAGTTGAGAAAATGAAATTTTTATTTTAAAGACTTTCCTCTTATTTTCTACTATGTGCATACAAATTTAATTTGTTTAAACAGGAAAGAGTAAAAGAGAGGAGTAGTTCAAGTTTCTGTAAGAAGCAAAGAGGAATATGAACACAAGTACTGGGCAGTTTTAGAAGTGAGGGAGGGTCGAAGGTCCAGGTTGTTTTAGAAGCTGGAGGGAAGGGAACGGGAGATGGCCGTGTGATGGTGAGACCCAACAGCCACTTAAGGCAGTGCCTGCCTTGTTCCTACAGAGCCTCAGAGACACAGTGACATCTGAGCCAGTCGGTGATCTACACGCTGACCTCCAGAGAGCCAGTCAAAGCCCATCAGAAATAAAGTGTCAACCAGGTGCGTTCTAGATTGATTGCCAGTCTTTGCCCCCACCCTCCACCCCCAGCTCCATGTTCTTCCAGTCTTCTGGTCCTTGAAGTTCCCGTTTTTTCTTTATGCCATAGATACTTATTGGTATCTTCTAAATGCAAGGTCATGAAGATTTATCTCCATGTTTTCTAGGAGTTTGGTAGTTTCCATGCTTCCATTTAGGTATCTGTACACAGTATCAGGTAAGGGTCCAGCTTATTTTGCCCTTGGCTATCCAGTTCCTTTTTCTTTTCTTTTTCTTTCCTTTTTGCTGGATCTAACCTAGGGCCTCATTCATGCTGGATGAGCACATTACCTGTAACCCCGGCTTTGCCGTCCAGTTACTGTTCACTTATTTGCATCGTGTGAATTCTGGGGATGCTACCTACAGTCATAAAACCATAGAAACCAGCTGTGTTCACATGCTTTTCCCTCATCTTAACTCTTCTTGGAACCTTAGGTAGCTCCCAGTCTGGTCCTATACCAGAATTACCAAAGTCAGAGTCCGTGTTCTGGCAGTCCTGGCAAGCCAGACTCTACCATCATCCTCAATAAGTATGCCAATCAAAAGAGTCATTGATTGACACTAGAATTCAGAAGAAGGCCATTTGTCTATTGTGGCCATATTGGAAACAGACAGAGGGTCTAGTGACCCCTCCCCCCAAATCCATCTTTGACATGATGTTTAGGGTTAAGTGGGGGGCCAAAGTTATATGTTGTTTTATTTCCATATTTTTAATAACTTTATTTTATGGGCATTGGTGTTTTGCCTGCATGTATGTCTGTGTGAGGGTTACACACAGTTGTGAGCTGCCTTGTGGGTGCTGGGAATTGAACCCTGGGAATTGAACTCCTCTGGAAGAGCAGCCAGGGCTCTTGACCGCTGAGCCATCTCTCCGACGACCAGAATTATTGACCCATCATTGTTTTGGCCCCATTCTGTCCTGCAGGGTGGTCTGACAAGTTGCAAGTCTCTTTCCTTATAAGTTCCTGTCTCTGCCTAGCCATCATTCTTCTTCTCTCCCCAGGACAAGATTTCCAATTTGTTGGAGTGCAGTGTCTCAATAGTCTTATAGTCAAAGGTAGAGGTCACAAGTGTCTCTTTAGAAGGGCCCCATTACAACCCTGCAGGCTCTGGCTGCTCCTTATGCCTGTGGGCACCACTGCAGAGATAAGATACACGATCCTTGGCCTCCTAAAGAAGCTGCCAAGCTGCCTCCCGGTCCTGCACCTTGCCTGGACAGCACAATAGAGCCAATCTGTTGGCGCAGGTGTGGGTGAGCAAGCCCTGAAGCCATGAGCATGGAAGAGATGCCCCCAATACCCAATCTATCTTGTGGCAGCATGGATGGGGCGGAGGGGGGCCCTTCCCTCCCCCCATCAATGCCTGGGGCGGGTGGGAGAACTGGCCCTGAGGTCACAAGAGTGGGAGAGTTGTCTCTGCCCTGCGCCAGCTGCAGCACTCGGGAAAGCAGGTCCTGCACCTCACCTGGGCAGCACAGTAGAGCCGACCCTGTTGCTGGAGGTGTGGGTGGGCCAGCCTCGAAGTTGTAAGCGTGGAGAGCTATCCCCACTACTGTCATGTGGTAGTATGGGTAGGGGAGAGATGCCCCCCTTACCCCTCACCCCTTACTGCCTACAACCCCCCCCCCTTACAAGCTATGGCATTCAGGAAAGCGGACCCTGCTCCTCACCTAGGCAGCCCAGCAGAGTTGGCCCTGTTGTCAGAGGTGTGGGTGACTGAGCCCCAGTGTTGTGTATGGGGGTGCTGTCCCCATTTCTCACCTAACATATGGTGGCATGGATGCCCGAGAGATGCCCTCCTTCCACCCCCTACCCACCAACACCTGGGACAGGTAAAGGAGCTGGCCCTGGGGTCATGGAAGCAGAAAGGCTGTCCCTGCCCCTCATCAGCTGCAGTGCTTGGAAGAGTGGCCCCTGCACCTCACCTGGGCAACAGTGGAGCTGGCCCTGATGGTGTAGGTGTGGGAGAGCTGACTCTAAGGGCACAAAGGCAGGAGAACTGGCCTGGCCCCTCGCTCATTGCTACAAAGGGTAAATTAGCTGGGGCAATGCTGGAGAGTTCACCCTGGTGTCGAGGATGAGAAGAACTGGCAGGCAGACCAACCCTGCAGCTGCCCAGGCCCAGAACCAGGGTTATGACTTGGCCCGCCCCAACATCCACCCCATCTACGCTCTGCTAGAGCACATGAAGGGGCCTGACCCATGGACCCAAAGCTGAAGGATCTCTGTGACACAGGGCAACAACAGGATATTCAGGAAGAGTCCCAGTGAGGGCCCAGCATGGATGGTATAGTAGAAACCAGAGGCCTCGAACCAGACCAGTGACTCTTTGTAATAAACACTTGCAAGTAAAGATATGTGGACAAAGATGTTTACTGTGTGACTCACTGTGTCACACTGCAGCTTCCATGATGAGATTTTTTTAAATTTTTTCCCTTAAATTTTGTTTCATTTGGCGGGGGTGGGGTGGGGGTGGGGTGTAGGAGCAGAGGGCAGATGCAAAGAGATGGGGAAATGCATGGGCTCAAGATACATGTTGTGAAAGACACACAGAATAAATAAAAAAAAGTAAAAGAAGAAGAAGAGGCTGCTTCCCTTCCTTTTGGCCAGGGCTTCAGCCTCCTTCCTTCCAGGAATGAATGGAACAGGAGGCAGGTGCTGAGAAGACACAGTTCCCAAGGAGGTGACTTTGTGCTGGAGCCACCTGTCTTGAGGACAATCCATCTCTGCTGAGTGGTGCAGGCATACACAGAGGGTAGACAGTGGTACCTTCTATTCCTCCACTGCACAGACCCAGTCACTAGGAACACTGTCTACTGCTCCAGTCGGTGGAGGACCAACTTCTCCCACTCTGATAGGGATGCAGGCCTGAGGTCCCAGAAGGGTTGGAAAGAGAACGGGTACCTGATCGCTGCATCTTGAGTTGGTTTCCCATCATCTGCCTGTATAGATTGTCTGTTTTACAAATTACCAACTTTGTTGACGTACCAAGGTTCATAATCTTTCATAATCTGCTTTCTTTTTTATTGGGGTGGGAGGTCTCACTATTTAGCGCTTGCTATCCTGGAATGTGCTTATGTAGACCACATAAGCTTTGACCTGTTTCTGCCTAGCCTACATAGTGAGTTCTAGGCTAGCTAGGGCTGCATAGTGAGACCCTGTCATTAAAAAAAAAGAAAAGAAAGGAAGGGAGAAAAGAGCATGCTCCATAGACATGCCCACAGCCAGTCTGAGGAAGGCAGTTCCTCAGTAGTGATCTCCCCTTCCCGGGTCTAACTAGGACACAGGTCTTCACCGTGGCTCTGGAAGTCCTGTGGTTTCCTTCATCATCTTTTTTTTTTCCCTCCTCAGGCTCCTACCTGTCACCTGAGACTAGGGCTTGCAATCCCTGCACTGCCGGGATAGACTACACCAGCTCTCTCAACAGCCTGGCCTCATGCAGACCCTGCAGCGTCTGTAAGGAAGGTGCGGAGCAAAGGGCCTCCTTCCCATAGGTGGGACCTGGGGGGTGGGACTCATAACTGCTGTGGACTCGGAAACCTCAATTCCAGCCCAATTGGATCTTTACCCCACCCTGTTCTCCCCCTTATCCTTAATTCAATGAGACAAAAAATTTAAAAAAATCAAAAACCCTGGGGAATTCATCTGTGCTGTGTTTTAGGAATCATTGCAACCATCGATTGAGAACAAGGTAGAAAGTACTCTGCCCCTGTGGAGAGCAGGGCCTAGTACCCCCAGGTGCATTATGGGGCGGTTACCACTACCTTCACCACCCATTGATTTATAAGCTGGCACACTTGGTGAACAGGAAGCACCCTGGTGCCCGTGGGCAAGGACTTGTCCTGAGGAGTGGTGGGGCTCCACAGAGCACACAGCGTTAGAGCTGGGCCTTGATGGATAGATAGATACAGGGTTCTGAGTGGAACAGGGAGGTCTCCAGCTCCAGAATTGAGGAGTAAAGAGCCCTGAATGTTTGGAATAGGGCATTAATTCATTCTGGGTCCAGCATGAGTCTCCCCAACTCTGCAGTGGATTTGATACCCAGGAGCAAAGTTTGAGTTACTACGGGTAGTAACTTGCTGGCTTTGCATTTTCTAGAAGTTGAAGTCAGAAGTGTGGATCATGAGATGCGACCCCAGCTTAGAGAGGAAAAGAGCCACTGAGAGTCTCCCCTCCGTCCTGTAGTCAGTCTCCAGCTACGAGTGACATGCCATGTTCTATCCTTACCCTCAGGATCCATTGGCTTTTTCTTAGTAATGGCTGCCTTCTAGTCCTGTGAGACCTGAGGCCACTCCTAGAACTTTCCACAGAAACTTCAACGTGCATTCATCTTTCCTGTGGTGGGCCTGCTAAAGTGTTGAGGTTGTAGTTGTTGTTTTAGTTTCTTTTCCTGTTGCTGAGAGGAAAGCTCAGAAAAAAAGGGTCGAACTGGCTCACAGTTCAAGGGTATCAACCGCCCATCGTGGCAGGGAAGTCAAGGTGGGCGGGAGCTTGAAGCAGCTGCTCAACTCCCGTTCTCAGAGAGTAACAGATGTGTGTGCTTAGTCCACTTTCTCCTTTTTATACAGTTCAGGAGCCTAGTCCAAGAATGGTGCCACCCAGAGCGTATGAGTCTTCCCACCTAATTAGCTTAATCAAGATAATTCCCAGAGACATGCCCAGAGGCCCGTCTCCCAGATGATCCTTGATCTTATCAAGTTAACAGTTGAGATTAACCATCGTAGTTGGTAACAAAGACAAGAACGGCTAAATGGGTTCAGGCTGGGTTCCCAGCTGGCTCTGGGCTAGGCTCTCTTGTTCTAGGCTCTGAGTTCTTGCTAGGTGTGAGAGCTCAGTCTCTGCTTCTTCATGCTCTTCCTGTTTCCAGGAGTTTGAAGATCATCCTCTGTGCATCCCTTGCACCTGTCCTCATGATCAAAAAGACTGTTCCTCTCAATTCTGATGCATGAGGTCATGAATTGTGTTCCTTTTGTAAGGCTCTGAGTACTGGTAGCTGCTCATGGGAGCCATCGTCTGCATGCCCCAGGCCATGGTGTTATAGAAACCGGCCCTGGTTATTACTTCCTAAGTTCAGTTGAGCTGAAGCAGAGGAACTGTGTCCTGAGGAAGAGTTACCCCATGGTAACCAGAAAACTCATCCTTCTAACTCTTACAGATAAAGAGGAAAAAAGCAAATGCAACTCCACCCGGGACACGGAGTGTCAGTGTAAACCAGGCACCTTTGAAGATGAAAACTCTCCTGAGTTCTGCCAGAGATGCCTTGAGTATGACACAGGGGCCCTGAAACTCCTACAAGCCCAGGGGAACCCCAGAAGACCCAAGCTTCCTTGTATCCTTTTCTTTTCCTCCGACTCCATGGAGTTCCCACACCACAGGGTATCTCTAAGCAGTTGGGGTCTTCTGATCCTGCTATGGCCTCTCCATGCCCCTGTCCCCCACCAATCCCTTCGTGGACTTTCCCACCCATTCATTTTCCCTTGGCAAGATAATTTGTCTGCTATTTGTAGAATATAGCATGAGAATGAGTAGAATATAGCCTGGCTTGTGTTTACTTACATCACTTCAGAATTCTTGTGCAGACGGAAGCCTATAAAGACAAAAGTGCTACACGCACGCAAAAAAATATAACGAGGCTGTGCGTGTGGCTCCCTCAGGGTTCTCAGAGGCACCTGAGCCAACTCAGCCAGCCTCACCCCAGGACCCTGTCCCTGCAGTCTCAACTTCAGCAATTGGAGGGAAAATAGTTCGCTTACTCTTCCCTGACCACGTGGGATTTACTATGATTGGTAAAAAGGTCTGCTTATTAAAGTTGACAAAGACATGGTCAGCGGTGGCCACACAGGCTTCTGTCCTCCTCTTTCCTAACTTAGGATCTCCTTGTGGCCCAGGGCAGCTCAGCACACACCCTGCAGAAAAGGCAGAAAGTCTGCCACCATGTCTACAGAGAGCTCCCCAAAGTCTGCACTGTGTGCGCCCAGATGTAGGAACAAGTTTGGAGTGGAGACACAGGAGCCTGTCCTTCCTTTAATGCCATCTCAGGGACGTTGGGCAGAGTGGGTGACTCCCCTTTCATCACATCTGGCCAGCAGCCTTCTCACAAAATCTTATCATTTGTTCCTTGTGTGTGCCCAGGTGTACCAACGGAGACGTTGAAAAGACTCCTTGTACCCCAAAGACAAACCGGAAGTGTGACCCCAAATACTCATTCTTAGGCCTCATCATAGGACTCGTGGTATCTCTGCTGGCGAGTGTAGCTTTGGCTATAATTTGGAAGACTGGGGTCTGGAAGCGAGTATTGCAGGATATGAAAAGAGCCTATCCAGGTGAGTGTTGGCTGAGGGTGGATCCCTTGGACACCGAATCTGAATCTCCCTAACCTGCTCTTCTCCTTCAGAATTGCCCTCCCTGTGTCCCAAACCCCAGTGTCCTTGAAGCCTAGCCGTCTCTTGCTCCAGCAATTGATATACCATCTCCCACTTCCCCAAAACCACGGAGCCCCAGAATCTCACCAGTCCATCTCACTCTCTAAACCAAGTCTGAGAGAGGAGGGCATGGTCAGGACAGAGACATCAACTCCTCAGCTGAGGATAAAGGTCAGGACAGGAGCAGGTGGGGGACAGCTCTGGTTACAGCAGAACCAGCAGAGGTTCTAGGTATGTTATTTCCATGCAGTCTCTCCCCAAGTGCCTTCTCAGCCTGAGGGTAGCCCCAAGCAGGAATGGCCCCTCCTTATCCAGTGTTGGAGCCTCTAGCTCACTCCGCTCAGATAAAAAGGGCTGATGAGTCCCCTGCCCACTTGCTCTGGGGACCTCCTTCTCTTCTAGGCCGTGAACGGAACCCTGAAAGTGCAAACGCTGTGAATGTGTCTCTCATGAGAGTGCAGACATCCAGCATGGGAAGTGACTCTCACTGCAACACGGTCAGTCCTGCAATGAAAGCCCCCGAGACTGTAACTCTGCTGAAGAGCAGAGCGTTTTTTAATTTTATGTGTATGGCTGTTTTGTTTACATGTATGTCTGTGCACCACATGCGTGCCTGGTGACCATGGAGGCCAGAAGAGGGCATCGGATCCCCTAGAACTGGAGTTTACAGCCAGTTGTGAACTGCCATTATGGGTTCTGGGAATCAAACCCAGGTCCTCTGGAAGAGCTACCAGGGCATTTGAGAGGCTGCACAGCCCAGGGAGGAAGGCACATCATCTCTACCTGTCCAGGGTTGCTGTGCTGGCTTACTAAAGTGATTGGGGCTCTGGGTCCACTCTCAAGCAAGTGGCCATTTTTAGCTTCCACACGGCCCCAGACCATGTTGCAACTCTGCCCTTTCTGCCCTGCTCCTGTGGGTGGGGTCAGGTGGGAGCAGTGACCTCCCCTTGGCACTGTAGCGGGAGCACCGAGTGCCAGCAGCAGATCATGGATATGTGAGCCTAGGGTGGCCGCACTGAGATGGGTGGGACCCTGCAGGGGGCCTTGGGTATGGACTCCTGAGTGTCCTCTTTGCCTTCTCAAAGTCATTCCCGCACACTTGTGTCCCTCACGAAGATCTGACGTTCAGGGCGATGATCATACTGAGCCTCTAAGCAGCAGAGAATGGCCGTCCACTCTTTTTTGAGAGCACATTGGGCAGACAAGATCTGGTGGCAGATGTTACTGGAGACAACTCTGGTTCATAGACAAAGTGGCAGTTGTCACCAGATCTCCTGGTCCAGGGGATGTAGAGACAGGGAGACAAAGGACAGGCTGCATATGGCCTAGTGTGGTGACTGAGCCGTCCCGTGGAACGTGCCGAGTCTCTGTGACATTCTTGCTGTGTCCTCAGAGCCTGGGGCAGCACAGGCATGGAGCAGATACTGTGGCAAAGAAGGGCTGAGTCCTTGGGCTTAATTTTTGTTGGACGTATTGGGGCCTCACACATGCTAGACAAGCACTCCACATCCTCAGTCACTTTACAAAAACGTTTTAGTGAGACAATATCTCACTAAGTCATCCAGGCTGGCCTCAGCTTTGCCCTTCTGTCTCAGCCTCCAGAGCAGCTGGCGTTACAGGCCTGTGCCACCAGTCCTGCCCAGATACTTCTCCTGTTTTTACCATTTCCTTAGTTTTCTGTTCCCATCTGTGGGGAGGATTCCATGAAGTAGAATTTCCAGCTCAAGGTTACGGAAGTGCTGTTTGATGTGCACATGGGCCCACACTCAGAGACACACACAGTCATGCCTGCACACACACACACAATCAGACACACAAAATTACACATATAGGGTCTCACACACGTAGTCATGCATATACACCCTGATGTTTTTCACGAGCTTTGATCAGACATTTAGCACTTTCTGTTGGTTTTGTTATAGCAAAGCATCAGTGGTCTCCAGTGTACATGGCTTTGTTTTACACATTTTTGCGTATCGTTATTCTAATGTCATTAAGAGCTTCATAAGAAAAAAAAATGCCCCTATATAAGTATTTCCTCTCATATGGGTAATAGATTTCTAATTTCTTGTGTTGCACATATGTGTTCATGTGTGTATACATGTATATATGCATTGGTATGTGGAGGTCTGAGGTCTTCGTCAAATGTTTTCCTCACTTCTCTTCTTCACCTTACTGTTTTCTGAGGCAGGATCTCTCCTTGGACCTGGGACATACTAGCTAAAGTGGCTGGCTGGCCAGCAAGTCTCAGGGACTCACCTGTCCCCATCCTGGTGCTTGAATTACAAGCTCAGGCAGCTATGCCCATCTCCCTCACCCCCAGGCTTTTTTTTACTTTATGTTATTTATTTATTTATTTTTAGATTTATTTATTATGTATACAATGTTCTGCCTGTATGTACGCCTGCAGGCCAGAAGAGGGCACCAGATCTCATTATTGATGGTTGTGAGCCACCATGTGGTTGCTGGGAATTGAACTCACGACCTCTGAAAGAACAGCCAGTGCTCTTAACCTCTGAGCCATCTCTCCAGCCTCTTATTTTATGTTATGTGTATGAGTGTTTCGCCTAAATGTATGTATGTGCACCACGTTTGTTTCTGGAGCCTGAGGGGGACAGAAGAGGGTGTCGAATCCTCGGAGACTGGAGTTACTTCAGCTCTGTGCCCGACTTTGATGCAGGATTAGGCATCTGGACTCAGGCCCTCAGACTTGTGTGGCCACCTCTTTGCTCACTGAGCCATCTTCCCAGCCCTAAGTTCCTAATTTTTGTCCTTCAATTTGTTATAATATTTCATTTTTAACAGTTGAAACAGTTCACTTTTGGGGTTGGAGATTTAGCTCAGTGGTAGAGTGCTTGCCTAGCAAGCGCAAGGCCCTGGGTTCAGTCCTCAGCTCCAGAAGGAAAAAAAAAAGTTCATTTTTAACGGTTAAAATAAGCAGATACATTTACTTCTTGCCACTCATAGCCCTCCCCCCATTCCATTTAAATATTGAGCCCTCCCTCCCCCTCTCCCCTGGTCCCTCCTCACTCACCAGTCAAATGTTCATCCTGACAGGGACTTCCTTCCACCTGGAAGAGTTCTGGGTCATTTTTGCAACTATGCTCGGTTTTTATTTCCTAAAGAGAAAGGGAAATACAATTTAAAAACGGTCACCAGCCGCTCAGCTTAAGTGATGGAATGCTAACAGTGAAGAAAGGGGCTCAGTGAGTGGCCAGAGGACCCTGCAGCCCACCCCCTCCTGAGACGTGAGGGTGATGCCAGGACCCTGCAGCTCACCCCCTCCTGAGACGTGAGGGTGATGCCAGGTTCTTTGGATCATTTCTTTAAACTTTTACGCTGTATCAAAATCATTTACATGAAAGACTCACAAACATATATACAATACTCAGCTGTACGTGAGATTTTCAAGTACATTAAAATAAGCAGATACTTGTTTTTTCAAAACTTAACTATGATGGTTCTGTGCTGCCTGTTTCTAGAAATGGCAATCATGTCTTTGTTTCAAAAAGTTAATAACTGTCTTGCAACCTGACCTTTGTTTCAGAAGGTTATGTGACCACCTATGACTACCTGTTGTTATGATTACCAGTGGTTGTGATTACCTTGTTATGCCCACCTTGCATCCTTGTCTTTGTTTCAGGAGCCCGTGTAGGACTAACTTGTTACACTCATGGTCTGCACCTGTAACCCCACCTATTTTGCCTGCCAAATCCCCAATTTGAAATCCCCCATACACTAAGTTCTATAAGACCTGTCTTCCTCACATCCAATGCTGACCTCTCAAAGGTGAGGTTAGGGTGAGGCAGCCTGTGAGTACCAATAAAAAACCTGCTTTAATTAATTTGTCCATGATGACTTGGGTCAGTGATCTTTCTCCCATCTTTGAGATTCATAGTATCCTTTGTTTCCAATTTGTTTTTTAAGTCAAATTTAGGAGCTGGAGAGCTAACTCAGCAGTTTAAAAGTGTTTGCTCTTTCAGAGGACCTGGGTTCAGTTCTCAGCACCTTCATCGGGTGGCTCAGAACTGCCTGTAACTCCAGTTCCAGGGCACCTGACACCCTCTTCTGGCCTCCACAGCTCCCTCTCTCATACACATGACCTACACCCACATAGACACACATGCTCGTAAACTAAAAACCTTTTAAACGGTCAAATTTCATATTCATCTGTACCAAATACCTTCCCAGCCCCAATACTATTGTTTTCATTTCCATACTTAGACAGTTGATGTGTGCGTTGTTATTATTGATTAAAACACCTTAAGAGCCTTGAAACAAATCTTGACCTTGGATTTTGCAAAGCTCTCTCCTCTGTAGTCTCCAACTGAGTTTTGTCAGAAGCCTGGGGCAGAGAGTTTGGCCAGAAGGAAAACCCCAGAGTAAGGGGGGGAATGTTCCGTCTTGATGGAGGCTTATACGGTTATGCACTTGTCGCAGAACACTTGATGTGAGCATTTATGCCGCTCTAGGCCACCAGCATCAAGAGCCTTCAAGCAACTGAGGCAGGAAGCTTACCTGTGTCTTCACAGAGACTTTAGAGGGGCGGTGCTGTAACCAAAGTCTGGTCATCAGGATCAGGCCCGGGCCCCAGGTCTCCTGACTCTGACCAGGGTGTCTGTGACGTTTGTTTACAGGAACCTGAGGAAGCTGTGAATTCTCCAACAGGAAGGAAGTTGCTGGGTCCAGCAAAGGGAATCGACGCAGTTGATGGTGAGTGTTTTGCATGAGGCAATAATAGCACAACCCCGGGGGATAGGAAAAGTATTCCAGTGGTCATTCCCGTGACACATAGTGCTCGGCCATGACAACTAAGGATAGAGGCAAAGCCTGTACTGTTGTCCCTGGACTTAGGGACCGTAACTCCCCCTCTCCTCCCTTCTGTCTCCATCGAGACAGAATTGTTAGAATCTCTCTGTCCTTCCACTCTGCCACCGCCCCTCCCTTCTCCCTCGTAGTTCCCACCCCTGCCTCCGCCAGGGCCTCCAGAATGGTGCACTGGCCTGTGGTAATACCCACGGGCCTTCCACTAGAAGCTCCTGACGTGGCCAGACTTAGTTTGATGAGCTGTATGTACTCTAAATCCCAAACCTGACTTCAGAGATGTCGTGCAGAATGAATGGAAACCATCTCATGAGTACTGTTTCAGGAGTCCATGAATCAAATGGCAATTGTTTCCTTTCGTATTTCATTAGTTAGTAAGTTAGTTTTACATGGGTTCCAGGAACAGAATTTAGGTCCCCTGCAAGAGCAGTATGTACTTTTAACCACCGGGCTCTCTCTTCAGTCCCCATTTTCAGTGCTAGAATGCTTGGGACTGAACCCAGGATTTTGAGTATACTGGGTAAATACTCTACCAGTTAAACTACACCTCTAACCCTCCTTTCACTGGTTAAATAAGGCTATTAGAACATGTCCCGGTAACTCCTGGGGCTCATGGGACTGCTATCCCTGCTCCTTCTGTTTCTCGGGTTGCAGGATGACACATTTCATACATACCTCATTTACGTCATCCTAACCACATAAGTGAGTTTCCGTGACCTAACTACAGGTTCAGATTTTCAATCATTCCTTTGCCACCATCTAGTGGTAGTGATGCAACATGTGAAGGGAAGTCAGCTGGCATGGACAGCTCCTCCACCTCTCTGCTCTGTTCTTTACAAAGAGGCAGATAGGCTTGCCCTGTACCCCTTTCACCATGAATACAGCCTAAACAGCCTCCTTTCCCTGAGATACTATGCACCCACCCCTCTGTGCCCCTCTGTGGTTCATGCCATGTGCTAACACCCTTCTACACACATACACAATCTCTGCACTTTCTCCCACTGGGCCAGCAGCCCTCTTGCAGAACAGGATTCTTTTTTTTTTAAGGTATATTAAAAAAAAAAATTCTTTAAAAAATGTACTTTGTATATCTGGGTGTTTTGCCTGCATGTATGTCTGTGCACCACTTGCATGCCTAGTGCCTTGCAGAGGCCTGAAAATGTGTCAGATTTCCTGGGACTACAGCTCCAGATGGTTGTGAGCCGCCATGTGGGTGTTGGGAATCGAACCCGAGTCCTCTGGTAGAGTAGTCAGTACTCTTAACAGTTGAGCCATCTCTCCAGCACCCAGGTTCTTGGTGGGCTTTGGGTGTGTGGTGAGGTTACAACAGCATCCATGGAATGGCAAGGGAGGGCATTAGGTTCTCCCCTTGGCTTCTGGATCTGATTTAGGATCTTCCACGCTCTCTGAAGGGCTTGCAGCTTACCTGTCCCCCCTGTTTTCTGACACCCAGCCCTGAAGCAAATCTTCAGTTACTGTCCGAATGTTGTACCGTATAACTCCTGGAACAGCCTCATGCGACAGATGGGCCTCACAGACAATGAGATTCAAGTGGTCAGAGCTGAAACACTGGCCCTACGAGAAGTCTTGTACCAAATGCTTCTGAGGTGGCTCAACCAAACGGGCCGGGATGCCTCCATCAACCATCTGCTGGATGCCTTGGAGGCCGTGGGAGAGAGGTGGGCCCGGCATGAAATTGAAGACTATGCCGTGAAATCTGGAAAGTTCCTTTATCAAGAGGCTACAGCAGAGCCAGGCATGGTGACACACACCAGCACTGAGGAGACAGAGCTGGGATAATCTCTATTTGAGTTCAAGACCAGCCTGGTCTATATGGTGAACTCAGTATAGCTAGGATTGTGTAGAGAGGGCCTGTCTTAAAAGAAGAGGAAGCTGCAATGGGTCTAAAGACCTTCAATGACTTTAGAATTAATTTTATTTTATCTTTCTGTATTTATTGTCATATTACTGTATTATTGTCATACTGGAAGCTAGACCCAGAGCCTTGTGAACACTAGGCAAGCATTCAAACACTCAAATGCATCTCAGCATCTTGGTTTGCCTTCTGTACCTGGACAGGGCACAATTGGCAGGGTATGGTAGAACCAGCCTGTCTTTCTGGCCCTCCAGAGGTGGAGCCAGGAAGATCAAGAGTTTGAGGTCAGTTGGGCCACATGAGAACCTGTAATGTGCATTATTAGTAAATTATCATATGCTGTCTAAACGTGTTGAGAGCTGACTATGGAAACAAAGAGGGTGCTCCTGTCCCAGGGTCTAACATGTTCATTTCACATGTCTGCCAAGACCCCTTGTCCACAGACAAACTGCCCCCTGCCCCCACCCCCAACCCCACCTCCCTGTGACAGAGGGAAGCACAAAACAGCCCGAGTATAGGAATTTGAGCTGTCCTTGAGAACAGCTCAAAGGTCACCAGTTTCCGACCAAGGTGACGGCTCTTTATTGTTAGTCTCCAAACCAACCCGACTGCTGCTCAACCACACAGCTGCACAGCTCCCCTGGCTCACAGGCTGAGGGTCTGTCTGGAATGCAACTCCCAGGTGAACCGATTTCTCACTCCCTCCGGTGAGTTTGCTGGTCTGGACACACAGAGAACATAAAAAGCGCTCCGGGTGGCGACCCATCCCCCACCCCCTTTCCTACCACCTGCTGGGGAATCAGTGCATCCTGGCTCCAAGTGCCTCTGAGACCCCAAAGAAACAACTTCTGTTTTGTTCCATGGCCTCGATTCTCCTTAGTTTGGGTTCCAGTCCTCCTTTACATATACCTGACCTGTCTAGGTGTGGATAACTGGGTCTTTTAAGCTATACCACTTTATATTTCTGTTTGTCTTTGTCTTATGGTTCTGGGTACTGGATGCAGGTCCCAGTTCATGCTTAGCACTTTCTTTGCCACTGGGCTACAACCCCAGTTTATTAATCTATAAGTTTAATGACTTTATAGGTGCCTATAAATACTTACATGTTTACAGGTAGATGTTGCCAGATGAGTCAAGACTTGGGAACTGTATCCACTGTGATGGACATGGCTGGTCCATGACCTGCCATTGGTGATGGGTAATCTTGATTAGACTGTGAGAGGCTGGGCCAGGGAGATGGCTCAGCAGATAGAGGTGCTTGCCACCAAGTGTGATGACCCAAGCTCTATCCCCAGAAACCATATGATGGGAGACGAGAACAGACTCCTACAAGTTGTCTTCTGGCCTCTGTGTGATGTGACATGAGTGTGTGTGTGTGTGTGTACACAAAGTAAATGTAATTTTTAAAATCCAGTTGAGAGGCACCTAGGAGATTGTAGCACACACTTTTGGGGGGTGTCTGCCAGGGCGTTTCCAGAGAGGATTGACATGTGGAACAGCAGCTGAGATGGGAAGACTTGCCATAGATTGAGTACACTATCCAATAGGCTGGGGCCGGGAATGGGATGAAGGAGGGAGGAGGAGGCAGCCAGCCAGTGCTCGCAAACTTCGCTCTTCACGGTCTGTCTGCTGCTGCTGCCACCATCACCAGGAGCACCCTTCTCCGGCCTCTCTGACCTTTCCACACGGACTCAACCCCAGCGACTCTCCAAGGCGTCTCAGACCGTCAGCCTTGGTTTATTTGGACTGAGAGGCTACAGGGCCCTGTGGTTCTAGGCACGTAAGCCCATTTCATGAGTCCCCCTTTACAGTGTTCTACTGTTGGTTCCTATCTAGACTTCTCGTCTACGGCTGGGGTGAGGAGATGGGACGTAAGTTAGGCCAGAGGTGCCTAATAAGCTCATGTGCATTTAATGTTAGTGACTCTGAGTCCTTCCTGGGGTCACGGGAGGAGGGGACAGAGACTTGCTCCTGATATCTGCATGCTCTCAGGGATGATATACATGAATGTGAAGTACTGGTAACTCATGAATTCTCAGTTCTAGTGAATCAAGCCCTGGGCCATATTGGGGCATAGAAACCCATACTTGAGGACCGTGATCTCTGGAAGCACCTGAGCATTGTACAGTACTAAACACTGAAATGTCAATTCTTGGGTTTTGGTTTTGAGTCTGGGTCTTGGCTATGAATCCCAGACTGCCCTCACCCACAATCCTCCTGCCTCAGCCTCCTTCAAACTGGAATTACTTGTGTGCATCACCATAGCCATATATAATTATTTTTAAAATACTGTGATAGGGATTTCTGGAGAGCTGGCACATTCAGATTTTTGTCCTGTGTCGATTCCTATTCTGTTTTTAAAAACTAATTTGTCTTTGAGACAAATATGTATGTATGTATCTAAATATGTATGTATATATCTAAATATGTATGTATGTATCTAAATATGTATGTAGCCTTAGCTAATCTTGAACTCACTATGCAGGCCACTAAGGATGGCCTCCAATTCAGAGATCTGCCCGCATGTGCCTTCCAAGTTCTGGGATTAAATGAGTATGCCACCACTGGGAGGTGGGTTGGGAGGGGAGGCTGGGGGGGGCAGGAGGAGAGAAGAGGGGGATCTTTGATTGGTGTGTAAAATGAATGAAAAATTTTTCTTAATAAAAAAATGTAAAGGTAAATGTTTTGTTTTGTTTTGTTTTGTTTTAGATGGATGAGTGTTTTGCCTGCATATATGTGCATGACATACGTGCCTGGTGCTCTTGTAGGTCAGACAGCGACCTCTGATCACTAGAGTTACAGATGGTTGTGATCCACTATGTGGGTGCTGGGAACCGAGCCCATTCTGCAAGAGCAAGTGCTCTAAACCGCCGAACCATCTCCTTAAGTCCTCAGTCTGTCAGCCCACCTTCTGGCCAAACCTCCTCCAACACATTCTAGTCACACAGCAGGACAGTGCCTGGAGAGGCTGTTATTCTGGGTATCAGCATTGTGCCTACATGCAGATGCTGGACCAGCCCCAAAGTAGGTATATGTTTCACCACCACATTTGATGCCCTTTCTTTGACTCCCTTGGAAAACATGTTGGTAACATAAAATAAATAAAACAAGGCATGCCATTAGGTACAAAATACTCATGTATTATGAATTCATGACCAAATTAAATATGAAACCTTATATAAAAAGGTGTGGGGTTTTTTGTTCATTTGTTTTTGCCCCCATCCTCTAAGACAATACTGAGTGACATAGTCCAGGGGGGCTTGTTCTTCTGTCACTGCCCGCCCCCTGACGGGGGGGCTTTTATGCCAGAGGCTTGCCCCCCCCCACTGGGGTGTCTCCTGCTTCTGTCCCCCTGGAATCCAGAGCACCCAGGGACTGAGACTGCAATTTGCACCTCCCCTTTCCTGGCTCACTCAGTCCCCCTGGGTGCTTCTACTAGGCTGTAGGGCTCCACCTGGTGCACACTGGCTCTGACAGCTGTGGAGGGTAGGGGGGTGGGTCCCTGAGGGGTGAACTGGCCTGGCAGGGGGCATGGTCTTCCTTGGACTTCCACCAACTCCACAAATCTTCACTTCCTCCCACTGGCCTGTCCCTGTCCATCCTCATCACTGGTGAATGCCCAGGCTGCTAGACTGAGAGACCCAATTCCCCTTGCTCTTTAGGCCTGGACTCGACTTATTACCTGCAGCTCCCAAGAGATGCAGCCCTAACTCTGTCCTCAAAGGAAGGTGTGAGAGGCTCTGCCTTTTCCACACCTACAGACTCCTCTTCACGCTTGAAGCCTTTTAGAGCTCAGCTGCAGGAGAGCACACTAGCCAGCAGAGGGCAGCACACAACACGCTTCCCCAGCCAGCAATTCTGGAGGACTTGACCAAGAGGCAGCTGCAGTCTTGGCGGGGCCAGGCTCAGACTCCCAAGTTCAGCACTCTGGGAGACCTGCTACTGCCTGGTCCTCCTGACAAGGCAAGATCAGAACTCTAGGTCCCGGTACCACACAATTGGAGGGTTGCCTTTGCTTCTGGGTTTGCTTTAATCCCAGACCTAAGCAACCTATCTAGGTCCCGGGGATCAGTCAGTACTTTCCTACTGCCTCGTGGGACTTTGCCTCGTAAGTCTAAAACATGCTAAAAGGTGGTGAAGTATGGATCACAATTAGGAAATGGAAAGGGTCAACTGAGGCCCAGTGTTTGTTCCATGGGGGCTTCAAGCTATTGTGTTCTTTCTCCAGTCACCCAGATTCCTCTCTGGACTAACATTTCCTTCCTGCCCAGCTCTCCCCTTTATCCTCAACCAGAACCAGGGTGAGCTGTGTGGCCTGTTCTCCAGTGTGTCCTTTCCTGGCATTTAACCCCTGCCAAAAGCCTCCCACCCCACCCACCCCATCCCCGAAAGCACATGCTCCGTGTACATCCTGTGAAGTCGCCCTTGGAAGAGGAGGCTAGCCTTTATCAAGACGGAAAAAGTCCAAAGCTACTTAAGCCCAGAAGCCAAAACCTTCCCTGCAACCCTGCAACCTATAACCATCAAGCCTCGGGCAACAGCATCCTCAGATATGGAGGGGACCAGTCCTCTCCTGAAAGGCATTAGAACGGCTGGTACTACCAACCCTTCATATCCACATTATTATAGAGGCCTCCTTTGGCTTTGTAAATGTATTCCCTCCAGGGTCTCTTTATGGAACTTCATTCTTTCTTGGGGGGGGGGGGCGGTGCCCAAAGGATAGAGTGGTCTTGGTGGTGATTTTCTTTTGAGTTTGGTTTTCATTTGTTGGGCTACTTTTGCCTCACCCCATAAAAAGCAGTGCCACCCAGAGACAGGGGAAGAAGCCTAAAGGAGCATGGGATTGCTGAGCACAGAACCCACCCTTCCTCCTTCTCCTACATTCATGTCCAAATGCGAGGAGTGCAGGAGGGGTGAAGTAGAAGGCTCATTGTACTGCCTATAAACCTGAACCCTCAATCAAAGCCGCCGCCCACCACTAGGTCTGTCTGCATTGCCTGTAGCCCTGAAAAGATGCTAGCAGGATGCAGTTTACTCCATTTCCCCACCCCCCCACCCCACCCCAGCAGCCACACCTCATGGTGCAGAAGCCTTGATATGGGCTCTGCAGACTTCTTTTCCACCCTGACTTCTCAAGCGGGATCTGAGTAAGCCCACAGGACAATGCTCACGAAATACTTGCAACCCTCAAGTTTGTTGGTGGAAAAACATGACCAGCTCCTAGGGAGGAAGCTGCCTCCCCGGCCAAAGCAGAGACCGATACAAACAAGCCCACGTACAGGGAAGCTTTCTTCCATTGACTCTATTGTCAAGTCCAGAGAGAGAATATCAAGAGCTCTGAGTTCTTTTCCTGCTCCCCACCTCGGAGCAGACGCTTCCCTTGCCCTGCCTGGAATTGTAGGTGGCCCCTGTTCTGATCTGCAGGGCCCTGGCTCCTCTTGGCCTGAGCCATATTGGCTGGTGAGAACAGCTCTGCCCTTAGGGCCCTGGTTAGGTGAGTTCCCTCGTGCCCTGTCGGGTAGACAGGATGATAAAGAAGAGCAGAAGGGATAAGGACTAATGAGGACAACAGCAGCAGGATCAGAAGAGGGTGGCAGCATCTCAGACCACAGCCGAGGAGGAGGATGGGGACGCCGAGCCCGCTGCTGAGGAGGACGGTGATGAGGGACTGTTCCAGAACAGCCACCGCCGCTTGGGCTGCCTCCGCAGGTGTAAATAGTCCTCTTTCTCGCGTTCTTTCCGCGCACGCTGATAGTGGTCCTCTTCTTTCAGGTACCAGACTGGCGGCCACCGGTGCTTCTCGAAGTACTCTTGGTTTTCTGGAGCACACAATGCAAAGGGTGCTGAGTGAGGAGGTAGCCTCCAGGTCAGCACTAAGCCCACTCCTGCCCATGGTCCAGGTTAGCTCCTGCTACAGAAGCTGCTGGGGCTGGCGCAGAGACTCACCTGGGGACATGGCCTTCATGTCTCGTGGGAACTTGCGGCACACGTTGTTGTAGTTGGTGCAGATGTGGTGGAGACACCAGTCGGCCAACTGATAGGCACAGTGGAACTGTGAATGGTACAGAAACGCATGCCGGTTGGAGCAGGGACTCCGCATAGAGGCCGATGGAGCAGCCGCACTGGGCAGTGCCCGCAGATGCTCTGCAGTCATAAAGCTCCCCCCCCCACACACACACACACTCATAAGGGAGCTAACCCAGAACTGAGGAAGGCAATGCTTGATATGGGCTCCTAGGCCCTATTACCAACCCCACAAGTGCCTCCAGCATCGGTGCTACTGATATCCATGTCCCACATGTCCTTCCTCTGGCATCTGTCCTTCTCAGCTCTTACCCCACCCAGTTCCCTTCTCCTCCCATCTGCAGACGAAACAGTCTGCCCTAAGAAATGGGCAACCAAGTTTAGAAAACCTGACACCAGCCACACTCCAAGACCAAATCCCTGGCACTGTGACTTCTTTGTTTGGCAATAAGGAGGCAGGCCGTTAACTACGGAAGGGGCATCCTCAGTACCCCCTAGATGACCCCAGCCCTATTCTGGGGTCCCCTCTGATGTCCTGTGGTGTCAGCCCCTCTGTCTTTGCAGATGTCCAAAAGTTCCCTAGTTGCTTCCTGGTATATAAGATGATATAAACTCTACTCAGCTGGCCAGCCAAGGCTGTCCACTATCCCAACCATCACCTCCCAGAACCCTATCCTCTGCCTATGGGCCTTGTCAATCTCTTCCCCTGCCATGATACCTGTGCCAATTCCAGGAACACAAGGACGTCCCCATCGATGTCCACCATCATCTGGGTTGCCTCCATCAGCCCGGTCACTGTGTACTGCTCTGTGACACACACATACAGCCAACAATGAGCTGAAGAAACATGGCAAAGGGTCCGCACTGCTTATGTACCGCCACATCAGGGGATTGTTGCAGGGGAGGGGTTCAAACTGATCAGACCTTGAATAAGTCCCAACAGGCCAGAAAGTCCAAGGGAGACTTTAAGTTTGTGCCTCTTAGGGAGAAACAGGCATGAGGGTATGACCTCAGTGGGGGAGGGATAGGAAATGAAAAAGATGCTAAGCTTACTAGGCGGTCTTTTTCAAACTACACATGTCCCACTATATAATCTGATATGACAGAGTGTCACAGTATTAGCCACTGATGAAGAGGGCCTGAAGCCGCCTGTTTGCTGAAAATGAAAACAGACTAAGAATTCTGATCTAGAACTGTGGGTTAAACCTAGTTATTTATAGTAATTTAAACTTTATTAACAAATAGTGCATGAATCTTCCAGTTTACATTAAAACATTTATATGGAGGAAGTAAACTCCCTTGGTCCTGAATTTAATTCAAAGTATCAGAATAAACCCATGAGGTATTTTGTCCTTAAAAGATGAGTACTTTTTTCCAGCTCCTCCCACAGGAAAGACCCGGAAGCAGGAAGCATCACAAGACCAGTGAGCATTTCCATATTCAACTATAAGAAACCAGGACTTCTAGCATGTACAGGGCCCCGGGTCATCACCACAGAGAAACCAGGGTGTTTTGGAGAAATGGCTGATCCCAGGTCTGAGAAATAAAGGTACAGGGTGGAGCTAGGACATCTTTTCATTCCAGACAGGAAGGAAGCCAAGGGCTCCAGAGCAGACACACAGAGACTGCTACTGGTTAAAGGCACAGTATTTGAACTTCAATAAGAATGAATCCTAGCACTGGAGCATGAGGCAAGAGGGCCAGGAGTTCAAAGCCAGCTTAAGCTACATAGCAAGTTCAAGGTCAGTCTGGGCTTTATAAGACCCTGTCTTAAAAACAACAAATAAAATAATAAATACACTTAAATGAAACCAATCAAATTTGTTCATGATAATACTTTAAAATACACAGACACAGCCAGGTGGCGGTGGTGCATGCCTTTAATCCCAGCACTTGGGAGGCACAGCCAGGTGGATCTCTGTGAGTTTGAGGCCAGCCTGGTCTGCAGAGTGAGATCCAGAATAGGCACCAAAGCTACACAGAGAAATCCTGTCTTGAAAAACCAAACACACACACACACACACACACACACACACACACACACACACACACACACAAATTGGTTACCCTCAAGAGTGGGAGGAAAGAGCTATATCTCAAAAACTTATACATCAAAGGAAAGGACCAAGTATTACTGTCTTTCTTACATAAACTGGATTACTGGATAACCAAAGTGTGTGGGTGTGTCTCACTTGGGAGAAGAAAGAATGGCTAGGTTTGGATAGTGTCGTTTTTTTTTTTTTTTTTGGTTTTTCGAGACAGGGTTTCTCTGTGTAGTTTTGCGCCTTTCCTGGAACTCACTTGGTAGCCCAGTCTGGCCTTGAACTCACAGAGATCCGCCTGGCTCTGCCTCCCGAGTGCTGGGATTAAAGGCGTGTGCCACCACCGCCCGGCTGAATAGTGTCTTTTTGCAGCAGCCAATTAGTTGATAGATCTAGGCAGTGATACTCAATAGCTGCTAAAACCACACACACAAAAAAAAAAAAAAAAGAAAGAAAGAAGGAAAGGAAGGAAGGAAGGAAGAAAGAAAGAAAGAAAGAAAGAAAGAAAGAAAGAAAGAAAGAAAGAAAGAAAGAAAGAAAAGGAAGAAAGAAAGTGAGAGAGAGAGAAAAGAAGAGAAAACCAGGCAAACTTCACCTCTTGAAGAAGAGAAATAACCTATTAGGCAGTTGTTTTTTTAAGTGCACCAGGATCTAGATCCTAAATTGAATAGCCAGTTTACAAGAATAGGCTGGGGAGATAATTATATTAGCTACACCATGAACATGGAATTGTGGGACTGGGGTGATAACTCAGTTGGTAGAGTACTGGTCTACCATGCATGAAGTCCCAGGTTCCATCCCAGCACCACATAAACAAGGTGTGGTAGTGCACAACTATAATCCAGCATTTATGAGGTGGAGGCAGGAGGATCAGAGTATGAAGCAAGTCTAGCCTACAGAAGGACCCCGTCTCAAAAAAAAGGATGCAGTCAGTAAAAATCTAGACCACAGGAAACTACAAGACCCAAGCAGCAGAATAGGGCTGGTGAGATGCCTCAGGAGGTCAAGGCACTTGCTGCCAAACCTACCCACTTGAGTTTGATCCCCAAAGCACACGGGAGGAAGGAAAGAACCAACTCCCAAAAGCTGTCCTCAGAGCACCACACATACACACAATGGATAAATAAATAAACAAACAAACAAATAAATAAATGTATTTTTAAAATGCCAGAGTTGGAGTGGGCTGGCTACTTTCTGTCTACAAACTAGAGTCAACCTGGGGAGAGGGATGTAGCAGGCTTTCTTCTGGGCCACCAACCAGCCCCCAAATCATGACACGGAGATTTCATATTAGTTATGAATGCTCGGCCTTAGCTTATGCTTGTCCCACTAGCTCTTATAACTTAAATTAACCTGTTTCTCTTCATTTACATTTTTGTCTCAGGGCTTTTTACCTTTCTTTCTGTATGTCCTTCTCTGTGTCTGGCTGGCTGGCAGCTGCCTGGCTCCAGGCATCTCCCCATCTTATCTTCTCTTCTCCCTCTTCTCCCGAGCTTAGATTCCTCCTATTTATTCTCTCTGCCCACCAGCCTTGCCTATCCCTCTACTGCCTAGCTATTGGCTGTCCAGCTTTTTATTAGACCAATCAGGTGCCTTAGGCAGGCAAGGCGAAACAGCAACACATCTTTACATAATTAAAACAAATGTAACACACCTTTGCATAGTTAAAATAATATTCCACAATAAGGGAACCTCAATCCAGGATTTGCCTCCATGAGATTGGCCTGGTGGGCATGTCTGTGGAGGTGTTTTCTCCTTTACTGATTGACAAGGGAGGGCCTAGTCCACTGTGGGCATAACCAACCCTTGTAAGGTGGTCTGCTGTGGGATGGTCTGTATGTCAAATGTGTTGCTGATTGGTCAATGAATAAATCACTGATTGGCCCATGGCCAGGCAGGAAGTATAGGGACAAGGAGGAGAATAGGGCGGGGAAGTGGAAGGCTGAGTCAGAGAGACACTGCCAGCCGCCATGATGAGAAACAGCATGTGAAGATGCCGGTAAGCCACGAGCCATGTGGCAAGGTGTAGATTAATAGAAATGGATTAATTTAAGCTGTAAGAACAGTTAGCAAGAAGCCTGCCACGGCCATACAGTTTGTAACCAATATAAGTCTCTGTGTTTACTTGGTCGGGTCTGAGTGGCTGTGGGACTGACAGGTGAGAGAGATTTGTCCTGACTGTGGGCCAGGCAGAAAAACTCTAGCTACAGTGGTCCTGGTTATATACGAAATCAAGCAGAGTGAGCCACGAAAAG